AGGAGACTGAAGGGAAGACTCGTGCCTTCTGACAGGGTATAGACCACCAGCTCACTCTGTCTCACCACCTTGAAAAATGTTGCTACATCAAATAAACTATATTTACTAAAGGATTTCTGATTAATTTTTATGTTTCTACTAAGATATACATGACTTACAAATTCAACAATGATGTAAAATAATGGATTTCATGTTATCAAAAAGTGGAGAAATCAAATAGTTTGCCAGAGAAGAGTTGCTTTTGCAATACAGCCTTGGAAGAAAAACAAATTTTTTTAATGGAAACCAAATACGCTCAGACAATTTTATCACATTGGATAGTTGCAGAGTTTTTTTTCAGCTCTATGGGCTTATAATTGACACACAAAAATGGCATGTATTTAAGATGTACAACTTGATGTTTTGATATACATGTATACAGTGAGGTGGTCCTTGGGGGGAAATGAGTTAAGGTGGGATCTCTCTTGTCATTTATTACAACTGCATGAGCATCTACACTTGTCTAAATAAATTTTCAATTTAAAAGCAGCAAATATATACATATATATATATCCAGACATCCCCACTACATTCCTACACTGTTGACAGGGAGAGAACTGAGACATATCACAAAACAAAGTGGTTTGGCATTTGGATTTCATAAGGTCTTTCACACAGTAATCACATCTTAATGAAGTAAACACATTCAAATTATATTCCTCCTCTGGCTCTATGATTTGAATAAGTTAAGTAACTATTATCTGAAGAGTCTTCCACCTGAAGCCCATGCTCCAGCGGTTGAGAGCAGGTGCCTTGAAGTTAGCACGGCTTGAATGAGAATGTGGACCTCCCCAACACTGAGTTCTGTGAAGGTCCTTACTCTGACCTTCCCCTGAAGCCCTGGCCCACTGGTCACCCTCCACTGCACTCCCTCAGCGCCCCGGCCTTGGCTCCAGCACAGCACGCAGGACCCTGTCTCCGATTCCTTGCTCTCTTTCTTCCTGTAGGATTGTGCTTTATTTATCGTTTTAACCCCAGCACCTGGTACAGCCAGTGGAACATAGAAAACACTCATAAAACAGGTTCGATTTAAAAAGTCAATGAATAACTATTGCCTCTCACTCATTTTTTGCTACTCAAATCACTGGAGAATACAGTTAAGAAAACAATGCATTAGTTTTCCTTCTCTGATAACATGACTCCCTAAAAGGGACATAAACCTATCAAGCTGCTTCAGAATACGCATATTCATTCAAAAGGATCAGAATGAAGAGGAAAACATTGTTCAACGTATCAATTTGGCTTTTATTTGCTTAATTATAATTATTTAGAATTGCTGGGCAATGGGTTTCTTTTCCTCTATTTCTAAAGGTAGATTATAGATCTTAAAATTTTTGAAATTAGAAAAATGTTCATGTCGTGGCACAAATCTCAGTCCACACATCAGACATGCAAAGGCCCTGAGGTGGTGGTGTGCCCAGACCACCCAAGAAACAGCAAGGAGGTCTTTGTAATTAGACAAGAGGAAGCAAAGAGAAGAGAGGGAGTACTGGAGTTCAGAGAGATGACTGGGCCACAGGACCAGGTCGTTAGGATCTTTCAGAGCATCGTAAGGATTCCAACTGTCACATTAAGTAAGATGGGCTTTGAAGGGCTTTGAAAAGTAGAAGAATTATGCATGTTTTGAGAATTGCAGGGGGAGGATGTAGCTCAGTGGTAGAGTGCATGCTTAACATACACAAGGTCCTGGGTTCAATCCCCAGTATCTCCTTTTTAAGAATCATCATCATCATCATCATCATCATCATCATCATCATTATTATTACTATTTAAAATAAATAAACCTAATTATCCCCCACAAAAAATTTTTTAAGATAAATAAATGTTAAAAAAAAAAAAAAGAACTGCAGGAGCTACAGTCATGAATAGACTAAAGAGGGGTAAGGAAAAAAACGAGACCAGTCAAGACGTGCTCACAGAAGAAGTAATGAAGGCATGACTTAGGGTAGTAAGGGCGGAGGTGGTGAGAATCTTGAAAACCTTTGAAGGTCGAGCAAGTGGGATTTGCTGAGGGAGCCAGCGTGGATTCCTGGCTGCAAGTGTTTTCTGTGAGAACCCCATCATCCGCTTTGATCATCAACCCACCGAGATCTCCTTGAAGCTCACCTGCATACCTCTTCCGATCCAAGGGTTCCTTCCAATACTCATGGGTCACACTTCAAAATCTCCCCACAGGGATGAAACTGCCTATGGAAGTTGTTCACAATACCTAAGAATAGACATTTATTTCCCAAGAGGAAAATTACCAAAGGGAAACATCGGGGTAAGGGGACATCCTGGATAAGCCAGCCCGACAGGACTCTTGCTGAAGGCAGACCAGGGCGATTAGACATGGCCTGGGGGATGGCACCTGAGGCACCTGCTGAGATGTGGAAGGTGGTCAGGCATGGAGGCTGGAGAATTCTGGCTAAAGTGACTTTGCAGGGGTTTTGCTAAAATTGGACAATGCCGAGACAAACATGGAGGTCCAAAAGTCAAGGCCTCATTAAAAAATTTGGGGGAGGCTCAACGTTGGTTGATTGGTCAAGGAGAGAATCTTTATCACTGCTAGAAAATTGTAGACCCTAGACAAAGTGTGTGTTCCTAAGTGCATGTGCCAGAGTAGCCTGTTAATTACTCCCACTGAAACAGCCTCTCCATCAGCAGAATTTTTCCACAGCCACATCCAACTATATTCCCCCTGATAATTCCCACACTAGTGTTGGGATTAAGGAACTGGTAAGTATGATGGGGCCCTGGGAATCAGTATGAAGAACCAAGATAATATGTTTCCCTGAGTCTGCCCTTTTCCACATAACGGCGGAAGAAAGCCATTGAAATCACTGCCTGCAAAGGGATATTTAACAGACTATTCTAAAGCTGAATGATTATATATGATAATATTCTAAAGCTGGGAACATTATATATGATGCTGAAGTCCTGGAAATAAGTTTGGAGATCTTAGGTAAGAGGCATGACTCTAAGTATGTATGTCCGTGGTGCTGGATGCTTATGCATAAGAGTGAGAAAATAAGAGTGAGGAAAACTGAAATCTAGATGTAATTGTTAATATTTATAGGTATATTTTGACTGCAAATAATGTAATGAGTACCCCAGATGCTGCATTCCAGGATGAGCCTTCAGTGACAGACAGCATAGACAGGAAATATTAGCAAGGAAGACATTGTGAAACTAGAAACATAAAAATAAGTCCAGTTAGGAATTGGGAAAAGGAAGTTTTTGTTTTCTGGCACCCCTGGAATTATACAAAAAAGAGATTTTTCTGATTGCTCTAGACGGACCTCCTCAGACTGAAATCTTCAGATCTGATGCTAAATTCAAAACTAGAGAGAAAAACATAATTTTTCAAACCCTCCAAAAAAATTGAAAGACTAACACAATGAACGTCTACATACTCTTCCTTAGATTTACCAAAAAAAAAAAAAAGTACAGCAATGATTTTTTTCCTGTCTTTCCACGCCTACATGTTTGCATCTTTCCATTCCAGCCAAACTTCCCATTCCCAAGCAGCTTTCGTATATTCAAGGGGGTCCCCTGAAGCCAGAGCTCCCTTTCCATCCCTTCCCATCTGGCCCAGATGTAAACGTCACCTCCCCACACAGGATTCTCTGATCCTCTTAATGAGAAATCATCCTTTCCTCACACACAACTCTTCATCTGTCCTTGGGGGTCCCCACCGCTCCCATATTGCTATTACGTTTGAATCCATTTTCGTTGGTTTGGGGTTATATTCCCTTCTCTCAAATAACCTAGAACTCGGCCAGGTTTCCATCAATACTTGCTAAGTAATTAGGTGGATTCAAAATAGCAGAAAAATAGAGCAGAATCTGGACGATGTTGTCTGAATGACCAAAGGCAGTTTGTGAACATGGGACCTATTCCTTTCCGATAAAGGGGTCTGACTTGGGGCCCAGGGTAACTTCCAGCCAGGTCATGGTCTGTTATTTACAACGGCGGCCCTATGGAAGGCCTTTGTAAGTAGGATGGATTCCCTCAATTTCTCTGCTAACTAAGTGGAGCTGGCATTTTCGAGTGATCATTTCCTCTCTCTTTAAACTAGTCAGGATTGATGACAGCTTCCATTTAGTTCCGTACATTCCATTTATTAATAAGCCTCCAGTGTTGACGTTACTCAGCAGAGCTGTAATCACAGCAGAAAACCTGTGTGCTGAGATGGTTGCATATGTTAATTCGCTGAATCCTCATAACATCCCTGGGAGGTGGGTGTGATGGTCCCCACTCCATGGATGAAGAAGTGGAGGCTCGGGGAGGTCTCTCACTCACCCAAATCGCACAGTGTCAGGACTTGCGCCCAGGTGGTTCTCACTGCAGAGACCACGCATTAGACATCCCTGGTCTGCTCAGATGATGTCACACAAGAAGCCAAAACAAGCAGGCACCTTGTTTCTCAGGGCCACACAGTCCCCACCTTCTGGGCTGCTCTGGTTACCACTGAAAGATAAACATCTTCTGTTTTATTCTTTAAACGGAGGTACTGGGGAGGTACCCAGGACCTTGTGCATGCTAAGCATGTGCTCTATACCACTGAGCTGTACCCTCCCCCCACCAAGAGAAATATTTTCCATTTTCCTCAAAACAGGAGGTTTTGATGAAGTTGTAGAGTACACGTTCTGGGAAATATTCAGCTCCTCCAAAAGGTTGTCAGGATATTTAAAAAAGTTGTGTGTCTGTGAGAGTTACTAACCCAGCGTTTTTCTTGAAGGTGACACAATCATTGTAGATGAAGCGATGTTCTGAGTACTGATGCTTTACATAGATTACTTCATTGCATCCTCACAAGGAAGCCTGAGGCCAAAGGGGTGAAGTCACTTGCCCATGTTTGCACAACCGGTAAGTGTCCAGCTGGGATCTGAACAGGCTGTGTGAGCCAGCGTCCCCCAGGTCCCTGCCACATGCTGCGGTACCTCTCAGTGGCTTTTTAAGTTTTCCATACTAAGCAGGCTTTGGACAAAACTGCAAAAAACGGAGGAATAGGACTTGAAGGGGAAGTGAGCTGAGGGAAAAGAAGTACCTTCATTTGAACTGAAAAAATAAACCCCAAAATGAGGAGGGAAGTGACTTAACCTTCCTTTTGTTTCTGATTATAGTAAGAAAAGGGAGATAAACTGCAAAGAAAGAAATTAAGATCCATTTTAAGGATTCGCACACACACACACAAAAAGATAGGACTTCAAAAGCCATAAGATTATATGGTAAGTGTACGTTTAGCATTTTAAGAAACTGCCGAACTTTTGAAGGGCGATTGGACCATTTTATGCTCCCACCAGAGTTCCAGTTCCTCCACATTTCTGCCTGCTCTTCATAGAGCTGTCTTTTTCATTTTAGCCGTTCTAATCGGTGTGTGCTGTTAACTCGGTGTGGCTGCCATTTACATTTCCCCAGTGATAAATGGCGGTGAGCATCTTTTCACGTGCTTACTTGCTATCCCTACATCTTCTCCTTGAGGTGTCTGTTCAAACCATTTGTCCTTTTTTTATATGTATAATTTATTTATTTGTGGGATAGTGATTTATTTTTAATGGAGGTACTGGGGATCGAACCCAGGACCTCGTGCATGCTAAGCATGTGCTCTACCACTGAGCTATATCCTCCTCCCTGATCCTTTTCTTTTATTGGGTTTTTTTTCCCTTATTCTTTAAGAGTGACAGCCATTCTACTCCTGGGTACTTGCCCGAATGAAATGAAAACATGTGTCCACATGAAGACCTGTGCACAGATGTTTACAGACGCTTTGTGTGTAAGAATCCAAAACTAGAAACAACCCAAACGTTCAACAAGTGAGTGGATAAGCAAACTGGTATATCCATGCAATAAAAAGGAACAAATCTTGTCCTACACCACAACATGGATAATTTTTATAAGTGAAAGAAGTCAAACAAAAAGAGAGTACGTATGGTAGGATTCCCATTCATAGACAATTCCAGAAATCAAGACTAATGTATAGTGACGGAAAGCAAGCAGCTCCGTGGTTGCCTGAAGAAGGAGGGCAGAGGGGACAGATTATAAAGGGTCAGGACGACACTCTGGGGTGATAAATAGGTCACCTGTCTTAACTACAGTGATGATGCCATGGGAATATGCTTATGTCAAAACCTATCAAAGTGTCCACTTCAAGTGCAGGAGTCTATGTGTCAATGACAGCTCAAAAAAATTTTTAAGAAATAAATCAGAGAGACGAACAGAAGCTCTGATTACACTTTCATTTCTATTGTTGTTATTTCAACAGCCAGTGGTTTTGGTACATAAAGTAGTTTAAAGTGAAGACAGAAACAAAGAAATCCCATTAAGGAAGACTAGAGCAATAGAGAGGAATTTTATGGCAGTAAGATTTTCTTATTTTCCATAGGATTAAATTTGTGGTTTTAAAAAAGAAAGGGGTGATTTGTAGAATTCAGTCCAAAGAAAACCATTCTGCAGGGAGTGGTTCTTAAACCATTTAAATGCGGCACCCAGTCTGAACTTAGAACTTATATATTTAGAACATTATTTTATGCATTTTCTAAAATATTTATAATTTACAGAAGAAAGAATTGTTAAATGCACGCTGTGTAATAAGATACCACTTTGCACATGATAGCAATACTTCCAGCTCTTCAGTGGTGATAATACCTCATTAGTTTTTAGACCTAACATCTGGCTCTATAAACCTGAATCTATAAAGGAGAGTAAACACTTTGTGAAACAACATTTTTAATTTTTTCCAACTACAGAGGAAGAGAATATGATTCAGTGGAGCTGGGAAATGGCACCAGAGTAAAAGAATTTATCTTCCTGGGACTTACTCAGTCCCCAGACCTAAGCTTGGTCTTATTTCCTGTTTTGTGTTTTGTGTACATGACAACTCTTCTGGGAAACCTCCTCATCATGGTCACCGTGACCTGTGAGTCTCGCCTTCACACCCCCATGTACTTCCTGCTCCGCAATCTAGCCATCCTGGACATCTGCTTCTCCTCCATCACTGCTCCCAAGGTCCTAGTAGACCTCCTGACCAAAATAAAGACCATATCATACACAAGCTGCATGACGCAGATGTTTTTCTTCCACCTCCTCGGTGGGGCAGATATTTTTTCCCTCTCTGTCATGGCCTTTGACCGCTACATGGCCATCTCCAAGCCCCTGCACTACGTGACCAGCATGAGCAGGGGGCGATGCACTGCCCTCATTGTGGCCTCCTGGGTAGGGGGCTTTGTCCACTCCATTGTGCAGATTTCCCTGTTGCTCCCACTCCCCTTCTGTGGGCCCAATGTTCTTGACACGTTCTACTGTGATGTCCCTCAGGTCCTCAAACTCGCCTGTACTGACACCTTTGCCCTTGAGCTGCTGATGATTTCCAACAATGGCTTGGTCACAACCCTGTGGTTTATCTTCTTGCTTGTGTCCTACGCAGTCATCCTCATGATGCTGAGGTCCCAGACAGGGGAGGGCAGGAAGAAAGCCATCTCCACCTGCACCTCCCACATCACGGTGGTGACCCTGCACTTTGTGCCCTGCATCTACGTCTACGCCCGGCCCTTCAACGCCCTCCCCACAGATAAGGCCATCTCTGTCACCTTCACTGTCATCTCCCCTCTGCTCAATCCTATGATCTACACCCTGAGGAACCAGGAGATGAGATCAGCCATGAGGAGACTGAGGGGAAGACTCGTGCCTTCCATAGTGGGATAGAGTAAGACTCTCCAACCTCTTCATCAGCAAAGACTCCTTTCATTGTTCTTTCCACAGAGTCGTATTTATTTACCCAAATATATTGTCAATAGATCAGTTACACGTACTAGGTAACAATTTATTTTTCATTTTAATATGTTACTGATAACCCAAACTATTGATAAGCATGAGTATCTAATGTGATAGATCTGAGCTGATTGATGTATTTCCACTCAAAGACCAAAGTAATGATGTGTCAAACATGAAAACTATATGGCAGGTGTAGAGACTGACTGAATCCAACCCCTTTTTCAAGAGGTCAGTAAACAGAAGACTAAAGATAAAGTGATTTGCTCAAGATCTTGCATCGAGTTAGTTACAAAGACAAGTCTTCAGATAATTGCTCTTCTACCAAATGAATGTAATTTATTACATTACTGGGCCTGCCCATGCCAAACTGCAATCTTCTTCTAGAAAGATCTCACAATCAGTGCTCTGAAGTACACACATATGAGTACATATGGTCTATCACAGATTAAGAAAGTTTTTCTGCTTTGGTAAACTTCATATGGTCTTATGACCTATTAAGAACCTCAAAGGGACATAATTGTGGTCCCCCCACCCCCGCCAGATTCCTATCAGGAATGAAGAAGCTTGGGAAGAGTTCCCATAATGGCCTCAAGGGATTTATCTTATGCGGAACTAGACATGCCAGATTCACATCCTCATGTTAAGTTTAGACAAAAGCAGACAACCTCAGGGATCCTACACAAAGAACCATTAGTCACATTATCCAAGAACTGGTTTTCAGCTGCAGTCTTCTGCAAATCTCAGATTGGCTTCCACTGAGGATTTCCATTCTTCCCACTGGAGACAGAGGAGGTGTTAGAGAAGATAAACTCTAACCAGTCTGTCTATTTTTCCATTTGTTAGTTAGTGAAGAGGCAGTACAGGTGAGTGTTTTTTGTCTGGAACAACACGATTAAAAAAGTAAAGTAAAAAGTGAAACATAGTGGTTGAAAGCTCTAACTTCAGAGTCATACAGACCTGGGTCCAAACCCTACCTCTGTTCTCCACCAACTGTGATATCTTGAGTTATTTTAACTCTTAACAGATCATAGTTCACCTACACAAATGTACTTACACTGTCCGTCTCATGGAGTTATTGTGAGGGATAGAAAAAGATGGTATATATGAAACACACAATGTCTGGCAGAGAATAAATGCTCAAAGGCAAATGGAGAAACTTTTTTAATCGAAGTATAGTCAGTTTACAATGTTATGTTGGTTTCTGGTGTACAGCCTAGTGACTCATATATATATATATATATATATATATATTGTGTGTGTGTGTGTGTATATATACATATATATGTATGTATGTGTATATATATGTATGTATGTATGTATGTATATATATATACACACATACACACACTCCTTTTCATATTCTTTTTCATTATAGTCTGTTACAAGGTATTGAATTTAGCTCCCTGGGCTCTACAAGTTATCTATTTTATATATAGTAGTTAGTATCTGTAAATCCCACACTCCCAATTTATCCCTCCACTGACCCCATCTTCCCCTTTGGTAACCATAACTTTGTTCTCTGTGTCTATGAGTCTGTTTCTGTTTTGTAAAGTAGTTCATTTGTGTCATTTTTTATAGTCCATGTGTAAGTGATATATGGTATTTTTCTTTCTCTTTCTAGCTTACTTCACTTAGTATGACAATCTTCAGGTCATCCATGTTGCTGCAAATGGCATTATTTTATTCTTTTTATGGCTGAGTAGTATTCCACTTATATATATACTCAGGTAGTTCTGGTCTCTGGACTCCCTAAGCTTTTCTTTATGAACTTGCCTATGAAAAAATGCATACCACAAATCACCTTATGAACCATTTCATGCAAATATGTCCTTTCTTTTACTTTCTGTCTCTTTTGACTCACTCAGATCATAGTTTTATCACTATGTCAGAACTTGATGGCACCAAAGACCTGTGGAGTCTGAACACTGTATCTCAGAAGCATAATCCCACGAAAGCAGGAACTCAGGAACCCCGGCCACAACATTGTCCCTGACACTTCCTCAAACTATATCTAAACATGCAATATAATCTGATTCAATAATTCAGAGGAAAGGGAAAGCAGTTGCATCTCATTACACAAAGATATATTTTTTTATCTGGATGACATAAAATCACAAGCTGGGCTGCATTTTTCTCATTTAAATCAGTTTTTATTATTTCTTAAGCTCTGCTGCAAAGAATCATAGAAAATTCAACAGACTCTGGGCATAGATAGCTTTAAAACTACCCTGTCCTACTTTACTCCCTTGAATCAAACATTTTCATGATAAGCATCTCTGGGTACTCATGGACCACATAACACAAAAAAATTCTGAAGTAATTAAATTGATGAGTATCAAGAACTGCCACCATGCTTCCTCCTTAGGTTCTAAGTGAGCCAAGGATCCCCGAGATGCAGACGAAAATAATTACATAGGGACAATGTACATGTCATATTAAACAGAAATTGTATGTATAAATCTACACCATCCAGTCCCTGAGAGCTACCCTGACAGTAGCCACAGAGGTTTGATTTTTCTATTGTTACCCTCTTGCTTTAGTTTCATTCCCCCAGCTGATTGCAAGCAAAGCAGTTCTGATGAGGAGGGAAGCTGCACAGTCCATGGAGTGGTTTGACACGACACTTTCTACCTCAGCCAAGGGGGCTAAGGCACTGTCTCATGCGGTTCCTCTAGAGAAAAGTCTATGCCCTGGACATGCACTTAGTGTCTCTGTGCGTACGTGTGAGATGGGGCAGAGAAGAGATGAGGGAGGAGGAGAGAGATGGAGGAGGAGCGCTTGGCGACTTTTTAATGACTCCCACAAGAGCACCATTGAATTGGCCACTCAGCTTCCACATTCATTCCCAGCAATATTCCCTCTGCTAATTCCTTTATTAGGCTTGTGGCTGAGGGACCAATAGAGGTGGCCAAGGTACTGTAAGGCAACGTGGAAGAGTCAGAATGATGTGATTCCCTGAGGCTGCCTTTTCCCACCTGAAGGAAAAACAACAAAATCACTAGCCTTAAGGTAGGCAGTCCACTACGCAGAATTTCCCCAGAACCTACTCCTTCTGAGATGCAGTTGGAGTATCACAAGAGGATCGATTTTTCACCTGGAGACTGAGTCCGTTGGTGCTGGTGTGTGTGAACTTCCGAAACTGAAAAGCTCTTTGTGTTGATGTTTTAGAAACCCTGCAAGTGTACAGACGTTCCTATTGAAACTAAAGCTCTTAATGAAGCAAAGCGGTAGTTTTTCACTATTAGGAAGAGGGGACTTGAGTCTTGCAAAATAGAAGAAGGTCAGCTGGCCCAGGGGAGGTGATGCACTTTACTTGGTAGGATGTTGAGGTTTGAACTGTTCTGAAGGTACTTGAGAAGGTGCTGATATCCCCAGCTCTCAGAAGGTTGACTGCTTTGGAGAAACAGCGCTTAAAGACAACAGTTCCTGAATTCAGTATATGCAGTCTGGCCAGCTTTGCTTCTTGGCTGAGAATGGAATTTGAGGGGCTTCGAGCAAGGTGTTTTAATGGCTAGCTTATCTGTGCCCTCATGTGCTACTGAATATGAATAATGCTTCTAAAACTTTTAGAAATTCAATCAAGACTAGAGGCTGTTCAGTATTGGG